ACGCCTAGTTTGGATGGTTTTACACCTTTTTTTACCATAGTGGATGATTTCTCCCGTGGTACTTGGGTTTACTTGTTGCGTGCAAAATCGGAAGTCCCTTGATTTTTTGTCAATTTTATGCTTTAATTGCCCGTCAATTTAATAAAAAGCTAAAAATTGTGCGAAGTGATAATGGAACTGAGTTCAAGTGTCTTAATTTCTTCTTCCGTGAACATGGTATTTTACATGAGACGTCATGCCGTGGGACACCTCAACAAAATGGTAGGGTGGAGCATAAGCATCGTCATATTCTTAACGTTGCACGTGCCCTACATTTTCAAGCGTCTCTTCCAATTAAATTTTGGGGGGGAGTGCATACTTACCGCTGCCTATCTCATAAATTGGGCTCCCTCTAGTGTGTTGCATTGTAAAACTCCCTACGAACTTATGTTTGGTTCTCCTCCTCCGTCGAATCATGTTCGGACTTTTGGATGCTTGTGTTATGTTCATAACCAAGATCAGCGAGGAGATAAGTTTGAGACACGGAGTTTGCAAGGCATTTTTATGGGCTATCCACATGGAAAGAAAGGATGGCGTGTTTATTTTCAAGATACTAGAAAATTTATTATCTCTCGTGATGTAATTTTTTATGAGAATGTATTTCCTTTTCAGGAAAAACTTCCTTCTAGTGCAGCTCCTCCAGTAGCCGATCCACCCATGGCTTATTTGGATGATGATGATGACAGTGGGGGACGACATTTGCCAGCAAGGGGTGGGGGGGGGGTCCTATTTCCTCTCTACCGCTGCCAGCCGCTACTTCCCCTCAGCCGGCTCCACCTCAGACAGCCCCGTCACAACAAGCTCTCCCCACCGATGATCTCACTCAGTCGGTCTGCTCCTGTAGTTCGGTCGACCTCGTCCAGTCAGCTTCTTCGGACGTCCTGTAATAACCCGTATTAAGATGGAAATGGGAAGAGCTCAAAAGGATTGATAGTACTACCCATACCAACAAGGTGCATCTTCTTTTCGAGAGCTCATCACCTAGGAACTCCATAGTTAAGGGTGCTTGACTTGGAGCAATTCTAGGATGGGTGACCCCCTGTGAAGTTTCCTTGGGCACGCACGAGTGAGGACAAAGTGTGCGTGAAAGACTTGTGTTGGTTTGTGGGGCCAGTCTACAATCCTATGAGCGAACACTTACGGCCAGGGTGGGGGCTGGGGTGTTACAAATGGTATCAGAGCAACCTTGCGACCGTGACGGGCCAAAAGAGCTTAGTTCACCTAGCGGGGAAGATCTAAGGGTTTAAAAAAAGGATGCAACGAGGACGTTGCATTCCTAAGTGGGGGTGAATGTAATAACCCGTATTAAGATGTGAATGAGAAGAGCTCAAAAGGATTGATAGTACTACTCATACCAACAAGGTGCATCTTCTTTTCGAGAACTCATCACCTAGGAACTCCATAGTTAAGCGTGCTTGATTTGGAGCAATTCTAGGATGGGTGACCCCTCTAAGTATCCTTTGACACATTACATTGGATATGCTCGATTATCTCCTTGTCATTGGGCTTTCTTAGCCGCGGTGGATTCTGGCTTCGGACCGCAACTTTACAAAGATGCTGTAAAATCTCCCCAATGGCGTGAAGCTATGTCAACTGAAATTGATGCGCCGGAGAAAAATGACACATGAAAGCTTGTCCCATTACCACGTCACAAGAAGGCAACAAAAACTCGATGGTTCAATGACACATGGAAACCATCAATTTGAAGGCATGTGTTCAAAAACCATCAAGCTTGTCCCATTACCACGTCACAAGAAGGCAACAAAAATGACACATGGAAGCTTGTCTCCTCTTGATCTCCTCTAAACTGGTTTGCAAGTAATCGTCTCTGTCCACGGTCAAAACTCGATCAATCACAAAAGTATGGATCATTATTTATACTCACACAATTATTCATATCGGCAACAAACAATTAGATCAGAAACAAAAAAAATTAGATCTGTGTCGAAGAATTCAGATCGGCGATGAAAAAGAATTAAAAAGAAGGAAAGGGGAAGAAAGGAGAAGAAGAAGAAGAAGAAGAAGAAGAAGAAGAAGAAGAAGAGAAAAAAGAAAGAAAAAGATGAAAACCGTGGGGAAGAGGGAGAAAGAAAACGAAATGGGAATTGCACGAAAGAAAGAGAAAAAGGAAAGAAAAGGAGATAGGGTGTGGGTGGGTGAAGGTAGTTTAGACTTTTTAACATAAAAATGTTCCTAAAAATAGAAATGGAAACATTATTTGAAGGCATGTGTTCAAAAACTCCTTGTTATCAATTTGAAGGAAACAAAAACTCGATGGTTCATTATTTGAAGGCATGGTTCAAAAACTCGAAGCTTCCATGTGTCAAGAGGAGATCAAGAGGAGACAAAACCAGTTGCAAATGGGTCTACCGTATCAAGAGGAGATCTGATGGTTCAATTGAGCGCTACAAAGCTCGTCTTGTTATCTTAGGAAACCATCAATTTGAAGGCATCGACTATAAAGAAACTTTTGCTCCCGTTGTCAAACTTACAAGTGCCATTGCCGCAAATACGGAACTGGGATTTGATAGACAAAGTATATATGCGACCACCTCCAGGATATCGCTCTCAGACACCGGACTTAGTTTGCAAATTAAACAAGTCCCTCTATGGTCTTAAGCAAGCACCACGATGTTCGTTTGCCAAACTATCTCGTGCATTGTGTAGGTATGACTTTGTTCAGTCTCGTTCTGATTACTCATTGTTCTCTTTTAACAAAGGTCTTCTGTGGTGCATGTTTTGGTTTATGTTGACGATCTGGTGATAGCTGGGAATAATTCTATTGAAATTGACAGATTCAAGAAATATCTTTCTGACTGTTTTCATATGAAAGATTTGGGGGTTTTAAAATACTTTCTTGGCATCGAAGTTGCCCGGAACTCTACGGGTATATTTTTGTGTCAACAAAAATATGCCCTTGATATTATTTCTGAGACAGGTTTACTTGGATGTCGTGCACTTGGTGCTCCTTTAGAGCCAAATCACAAGCTCGGCTTGGCTTCAGGTCCTCTTCTTGATGATCCAGGTGCATATTATCGTTTGGTTGGCCGGCTTGTGTATCTGTCACTTACTCGTCCGGATCTCTCTTATGCAGTCCATACTTTGGCCCAATTTCTTCAAGAACCGAAGGTTGATCACTGGAATGCAGCTTTGGGAGTGGTTTGATATCTCAAAGGCTCTCCCTGACATGGAATTCTTTTACGTTCTGATAGTTCTCTTCACTTGATTGGATGGTGTGATTCAGACTGGGCAGCTTGTCCCTTGACTCGTCGTTCTTTGACTAGATGGTTTGTCCAGCTCGGTGTATCTCCCATATCTTGGAAAACCAAGAAACGACCTACGGTGGCTTGTTCTTCTGTCGAGGCTGAGTATCGCTCCATGGCCGTTTTAACATGTGAGCTTAAATGGCTCCGTGGCTTGTTACGATTTCTTGATGTTCCTCATCCAGCACCGATGCAAATTTTCTGTGATAGTACCGCAACATTACACATTGCTGCCAATCATGTATTCCATGAGCGCACTAAACATATTGAGATTGATAGTCACTTTGTTCGTGATGAGTTTCTATGTGGGTCTATTCGTACAACTCATGTCTCTACTCACAATCAGTGTGCAAGATATTCTTACAAAGGCCCTTGGAAAGGGACGGTTCGATGTTTTACTTCCCAAGTTGGGCATTTATCTATTACACGCTCCAACTTGAGGGGGGTGTTAAAGATAAATATGGTATATATTATATATGGTACGCATGAGTTATGGAGGTGGAAAGAAAGCATTGTGCATGGCGTATCTTGAGGAGTATTTTATGATCATTCTATTATTCAAATTACTACTTGTTACCTTTTCTGTGTATAGTAGACATATATCATAATTAGGTTTCCTTGTACATTAGGTTTCCATGTATAACATTCATTATATATTGTACCCAAGGGGATAAACAAAGGCATGCAGAAAATATATTCTTCCGTAAGGAAACTTTACAATTTATTTTATGAACTTCTACATATAAATAAATATATCTACAAAATTATTTTCATCCTTAAAAATTTAGAACGGAGTAACATTTACTAATTGTAATATACTCCATACCAATTTAATTTTTTTCTTTCAATCAACTAAAATTTGGATGGTGCAATTGGAGGGGACGCGTAAGGTACCGGCCCGATATGAAAGATTTATTGGGAAGGTGTGCGGGGGGGGGGGGGGG